GACTGGAGATTTTTTTAAAAGCTATATTTTAAAACCAATTCTCCCATATCTCTGCATCGAGTAACGTTTTTACTGGAGATTTTTTTAAAAGCTATATTTTAAAACCAATTCTCCCATATCTCCGCATCGAATAACGTTTTTACCACGTAATTGCAAATTTTATGCAAAATATTGTATGATTACTATGTTCTGAATCTATCGTGTCCTTCCTATTTGGCCCTCAATAACTTATTTAATTTTATTCATAACATATTGGACCATTCGCTTCTAACCATTTCATAAATATGCCATATTTTTTATAAGGTGGTCACCGAAAAAGTTAAATAACTTCCACAGCTAATTTTTGTTATTCCTTAAATGACACACTTTTCACCACTCAAATAAAAAAATTATAGCTAAACATTTTTTAACCTTTTTTGTTGCTCCACTAATTTAAAAATTTGTTTTATAAATTTGATGAACTAAGTACTACAAGTGTGGACACTGTATACACCATATGATATCTATATACATGCAAACTACAGCGAATCCTAGTTTTTAACTTCCACAGCAAAAAAAAAAAAAACTTTTATAATAACAGTTAATTTGAATATTCAAATATTTGAGCATCTGAAAATCACACCCATTTTTCGAAAATATGGTAAAAAAATCAATTTATAAATAATTATCAGATTTGAACCTTTGTAGAGACAAAACTACTCAACATATCGATATAAAATTTCATATTTATTCTAATTGGAGTGTTTTCTATCATACCTCATCAAAAAATTTGTCCTCCGAGATACTTGGTTTTGACCATTTTTGGCCGCGGTCGTGACACTGTGCATCGCAAGCATTCCTAATGCTGGTCACATTTTCTTATACCATATTCTGACGTTGTTTGCTTTCAGAATTACGTATATGCATTAACCCATTCATAAAACAGTATTCTTAATTCTTCGGAGTTTATTATTAATCGAATTAGAAAATTACATTATCTTTCTCCTGATTATTGATTAAACCTATGGCTAATTACTTTTCATTCATGTTTTTCTAAAAATGTAACTATCAAAAAACATGATTATTTTTATTTTGTTTTATCCCACACTAGCAAAGTACCCGCTACTTCGTATGCGGTAACGGAATACAAAAAATATATCATATGGTATCGTAAATACTGTAAATAGAAGGATATATAGGGAGTTTGGTGTACTATTTACCTAAAATCGGGCTAAAATATATATGGGAACTATATCTAAATTTGAAGAGATTTTTACCAATTTCAAAAGGGTTCGTCCTTGGGCCAAATATGTGACGTATGCCAAATTTCATCCAATTCGGATCATAAATGCGACCTGTACTTTGTTTACCATTTAACATGGACAGACAGACGGACATGCATAAATCGACATAGAATGTGATTCTATGCATATAATGTGATTCCGTTGCCGAAATCGAAATTTAGTGCATTTGCTATTCTATTTACTATTCGTACAAATCAATTCGAGTTTCCATAGTTATCTCTATAGCTAAATACTACACTTCAACAGTAATCTAAATTCCAAATCGCAGGATCCAAACAAATCCAAATGGTTCCAAATATAGTACCATCATACTTATAAGTAAGAATTTCTAAAACTACATCAAACTCTAAAACTCACCACACTCCAACAGTAATTATAATCATACATTTCAGGATCCCAGCCCTGTCCGTTCACATAAATCCAAATTGTAGCATATTTAGTACCATTTAGTACTTTTCGTACTTTAAGTTTTAATTTTCAATATTGTCTCAATCCTGTACTCTAACAGTAATTTTATTTTCAAATAAAAGTTTTTTATCTCAATCTAAATAAACTTAGTACCATTTAGTACACATAATCATGCATTTTCAAAACTACCTCCATATCTCAATCCTACACTCCACCCATAATTTTGATTCCAAATTTTAGGGTTCCCACTCACACAAAACGAATTGTACCCTATTTAGTACCATTTAGTGCTTCTCGTACCCAAGAGTACGAAGTTGCAATACTACCTTAATTCTGTGATTTGCATTCTAAATTTAAGTTTTCCAACTCTATCCATTCACTCTGATCTAAACTGCACCAAATTTAGTACACGAAATGACAAATTTTCAAAACTACCGACATATTTCAATCCTGCACTCCAACAGTAATATTAATTTAATCAAAATTTCAGGATCTCAACCCTATCCATTGGTACCATTTAGTACTTTTTGTTTCTATAATTAGACTACGTCAATCCTACACTTCTAAAGTAATTTTAATTCAAAAATTCTGGAGTCCAACTCTATCCACTTAATCAAGTTGTACCAAATATAGTACCATTTAGTACATATACGTACTATGCTTCAATACCTTACTTCTATATTCTAAAAGCAACCATTATTCCAAATTTTAGGTTTCCAGCTCTCTCCGTTCACCCAAATCCAAATTGTACCATATCTAGTGCCGTTTAATACTTTTCGTACACACAATTACGAATTTCCACAGATGTCTCTATAGCTCAATCTTCAACAGTAATCAGAATTTCAAATTTCAGGTTTTAAGCTCATCCGTTTAAGCAAAATCCAAATTGTACTATATTTAGTACGATTAAGTACTTTTCGTACCAATAAGTGCGAATTTCCAAAACTACCTCAATTCTACACTGCAACTGTCATTTTAATTCCCAATTTCAAGACTCCAGCTCTATATGTGAAACGAAATCCAACTTGCACCAAATTTAGTACCATTAAGTACTTTTCGTACACAAGGGTACAATTTTTTAAAGCTACCTCAATCCTGTATTCCAACAGTAGTCCTAATTCCGATTTCGGGATTCCATCTATATACACTCAACTAAATGCAAATAGTACCAAATTTAGTACCATTTAGTACTTTTTAAAAAACATAAGTACGAAAATCTTAAACCATTTCTATGCATCAACACCACTTCCCAACCTGTATTCTATATAAAATTAGTACACTTATAGGTCGAATATCCAAAAACCCTTTTGTACATCTTTCTAACTTTCCATCAGTGACCCACATTCCAAATTTCTGAATTCTAGCACTTCCCGTTCGCCTAATACAAAGCGTACCATATTTGGTACATTCAATCTCCAAAAACCCAGCCTTATCTCACGCCTACACACCAACAACAACCCACACTCAAAATTTCAAGCTTCTAGCTTTAGCCGTTTCGTCTGGGCGATGATCTGTCAGTCACTCACTCACTTAACACTAAGCTCTTTTATATATAGATTTGTTTCTTTTTTATACGCTAAATAAAACCGAATGAGAAGAAATAGGTATTAAATTATGTAGAAAACTAAATTGTAAATTTTTTTATTTTTATTCAATTTCTCAAGAATAACTTCTAATTTCTCAAGAATGTCTCTTTAAAATTTCAAGTTAAAATTTCAAAAAACTCTTGAAGATATAAGCTGATTATTGTGTAGGCGACTGGTGGCAGCAAGAGCGTTTTTCAGCCCTTTAATGTATTTTTCTCGAAACAGTGTTTTTACAATTGGCGGGCACGATTACTTGCACACTATTAATCCAATCGGTTACAAATTTTAACATGTTATTCTGGACCTATATAGCTATCGTATGAAATGGGATATATAATCAGTCCAGATTTTCCTAATTTTCCAGCCTGGGTGTGGGTCGAAAATAGTCGACTTTCCAAAAAAAAATAGCATTTTCTTAGGTCCGTAATTTTTCTAATTTTCTAGCGAAGTCAATAATCCTAGTTTGTACCTTTTTAATTGAGTTGGAATTTTGAGATTAGTATGTTTCAGTGATCGACAACCATGTCCGTCGTTGAACAGAAGGACTTTTCTTTAATTACAAAAAAACAACAACAAGACCACTACAACATATTGTCAATTTATTTTCTTCTTCATTAGGTCTTCAAATACATGTATACACAGTTACAAGTCTTTAAAACAATGTATGCTCATTTGCCAGCCGGTTAAAAATCGTCGAAATTTTGAATGAGGAGATTGTTAAAATCTCTCTTTTGCCACCACTATTATTGCTAATTAGAAGGTTTTTTAACCTCGTCCACAATTCTAAATGAAAAATTGTATTTCAAAAAATTCCAATCATAGTTTTGGTTAGTAATTACTTTGTTTCGAATCAATTATTTTAAAGTCGACGCTGGTCAATATATGTTTCTCCACGTCAAATTCTGAGACACTACCTACTTCTACTCTTTAAATCTTGATTTCGACTATAATTTGCCACCAATTAAAACAATCAAATAGTTTTTTTGTTTAAATTCCACAATTCTAAATGAAAAATTGTATTTCAAAAAATTCCAATCATAGTTTTGGTTAGTAATTACTTTGTTTCGAATCAATTATTTTAAAGTCGACGCTGGTCAATATATGTTTCTCCACGTCAAATTCTGAGACACTACCTACTTCTACTCTTTAAATCTTGATTTCGACTATAATTTGCCACCAATTAAAACAATCAAATAGTTTTTTTGTTTAAATTATTTTTTTTATTAAATATTGGATAACATAAGTTGTATATAATATATATATGTACATATTTATAGACTTGTAAAAGATATTTACATAATAAAGATTTCGATTTGAATTTGCAGTTTTTCTAAACATATATAATACTTATTAAACTATAATTAATCAATTGTAAATTATTAACAAAGACAATTCAAATATGGCAAGTTCTCCAAGCCATTACAGAATGGATGGGAATTAATACTATCAGGTGAAATTTTCAAAAGGTCATTTCGATATACTTGCCGTGTTTGTTTGTATTGTAGTAGGTCAATGTATGTTGTTTTTGTTTACTGGTTTGTTTCAATGTTCCAACATTGATTTGTTGTCAGTCCCTAGTAAATATTATTAGGAGATTGTGTAAGGGTTATTTGCGAATAGCACTACATAGAAAGCGTGTGTTTGTTGAGAATGTGTTGAATGATTGCTAATTGTCTGGCTTGTCTTCAGTCTCCTAAAGTGAAACATATTCCCCACAATTGATTTATTTCTTCTCACTGTTCAATATCATTTCGCGTATTAAGTGGCCAGTGGCGCCATCTGGTTTAATTTCTATAACATTTACTTTCTCTACTGTAATTTTCATGCGTTCCGCTTTGGAGTTCGAAGTGGAGGGTTCATTTTTATTCGGTATATTAACTATTATTTCTTGAACTGTTTGTTCGTTTGCATCGGATTTGCTTAGATTGTCATCATTTTTGGGATTGTCATCAACCTGCTGGTGTTGTGGTTGTTGATCAGGTTCATCTTCATCATAATCAGGCTCCACCGTCGACGATACCACAATCGGCCTTAGACTTAATGGCAAATCTTTATTTGAGATGCTCGATATTGTTGTACTTTCGAATGTATCGATTGAGCCGCGTTTGGATATATCATCTACCTCGTCATCGATTAGAAGATTTCTTTCCGAACTTTGTTCGCTTACTTGTGAGTTGACCGATTCGTGTTTATGTAATATTGATACCTTTGGAGTGTTCGATGTTTCGTTTTCAGTTGTCGTTTCCTCGATGTTATTATCTTCCTTGCTGTCTTCCGACGTGGCTTCCTCTTGACTTTCATGTTCATTAGCTGCTTCCTCCAATGCCTTTTCTTTTTCGAGACGCATTTTCTCTTCCATCTCTTGGAATTTCAAAGCCAAATATCTGTCAAATAGTCGGAAGATTTCGAATGATATGCAATTATCTAAAATCAAATTCCTTCACTTACTTATCTACCAAAGGTCCACTATAGTCTTCCGGGAATTTCGGAGTAAATGGCAAAATGTATTTGTACAAACGTTCGTTGAGCACATATAATTGCGCAGTTGTTGCACATTTGACATTAAACCACCAATCACAGGTCAGTGCAATCTAAAATAAGATAATATAAAATAATGTTTGTATTACGAAAATATTCTCCATAAAATTTTGGGAATTTAGGCGCATTTTAAAATGTATGTTTCACAAGATTATATCCTATTTACAGAACACCACGATTTACTTTTAAAGAAGTGAATATTTTAATATCTGATTTAGGTTTTAGGTGAAATTAAGCTAATATAAAAAAATTCGAATTCGTTAGGCATTTTATTAAATAATTACAAAGTGTCAAGTCCAGAACTTTTATATTGGTACATGTCTCGTAGTGTTCAGAATTCTTGATAACCAATGTCAAGTGCCATGAATAACTTCCAATGTCTCTTCTGAAGTTCACAATTTCGTGCTTTAATAATAGTTCCCATGATACAGTATTTGTGACTAACATGCACAAACAACACTTGTAAATATTTCTGCGCAGGAAAGTCAAAAGTACCTGCCTCAATGTGCACGTAAGTGAAATTATTGCATAAAAATAGTAAGTATCTATCTAGTAAGTCTAATAATGATGGATTGTTGTTAACGCCTATATTTATTGCATTAAAACAAAATCCTTGTGTGTGGTTTCATACGGTCTTTAAAAATAACTACTGTCAGCTAAATGAAGAAATGATAAGTAGTAGGAGGGAAATGTGCAAATATTCTGAGTTGTTATCTTAAAAATGTTTGAGAAGTAATCTGAGAAAAAGTTCCAAAGAAGTGTATTTTGGACAGTTAATCCAAAGTGCAGCTATGTACAAGGCAGCTAAATCAAAACTACAATTTTACCTGGCTAAAAATCGTTCCATTCGGACAAAGGAACGACGCCTTCCCACCATTCAGGTCACAATAGTGCCATACTTGACAATTCGTTTCAGGGTCTCCGAAAAATCCCTTGTAACGCTGCTGAGAACAGTCAAATGACGTCTGCGGTATTTCAGCGTAGTTGGGATAATCAATACCCGGTCTTCCAGTGCTTGGTCCGGGGTGTTTGTCTGCAAAATAGGAATTAGCGACAAATATATGTGAAATAACTAAATTAACATTGACGCTGCAAACGTTCTCTTACTCGGTGTAATTGCTGCTATGGGTGCTGATAGATGCTCGTCACCATGGCCATGTTCATGCTCTTCACTTCCCGTTGCATAATCATAATCTGGCGAAATGGACGGAGAATTTTCATGATGTTGCGGTGGATTGGCCACAATCGTTTGGGTTTTCTTCAAATTGTTTAATATACGAATGAGGGTTTTAATGGAATTATCAATGTTTTCCGGCGTCAAGGTATGCGGCAAATGATTGCTCTCCTGTAACTTGTGCAATATTTCAGCCAGTGATGACGTCCGTATGTCGGGCAGTTCGTTGGGATCTGATAATGCATTGGGCTGATGTGGTGCGGCGACGTATGTCGTTGAGTGTTCGTTGTGTCCCTGGCCAACGACCGGGGGATGTGGCTGTAAGTGCTGCAGATCATGCGGCTGGTGCTTGGTTGGAATGTGATTATCGTTTTCATATTTTTGCACTGGTTTCAGTTTTATTGGTGGAGTAGCCAGTTTTTGCCCAAATTCTTCTTTGACGTAAACATATTTGGGAGCTGTGTCGACTATCATGGTATTTGGAGTTGTCGATGCCAGGACAACAGAAGGTCTTGCCGTTGGATTCGGTTGTCTAATGATGGGATAGTTGACATTCTTCTCCTTGACTACTGGCTGTAATTTGATGTTTGGTTTGTTTATGTACAGAGGCCTCATTGTTGAGCCGTAATTTTCTTGGGTTACAGGTTGATGGTAAGTGGATGGCGCTGCTGTTGTCACCACTATGAAGGCATGTGTGGGGGGTCCCAATGTAGGTTTAAGGGGTAATTGGACTTGTTGTCGGTACGATTCGTTGTCACGGTCTTCATCCAACGATTGTTTTGGTTCATCTACCGGATAGTCGGCGTATTGTGGAGTTGAAGGTCTATTGTAAAAGAATTTAAATCAAATACATTTTTAATTGGGAATCAAGTTTAAAATTATATGACTTTGTCGTGCCAGCTTTTAGTTTGTGGTACGAGTGATGTGTAAAATTAAAGCTATTCAATTCAAAACTACTTCGGTGAGGAACCAATCTTACTTACCCATTTAGTTTAGGATAATGTCCACTCTGTAGTGGATACGAGGATGATGATGGTTGTGGTGACACAAAGTGACGATTGTTGTTGTGCTGATAATTTCGTAAATCACTGAATAGATTGTGAACAGGAATTGTAAGGATTTGTTCACCGAGTGGCTGGGTGGAAGATGCTGCATTGTTTCGTACGTTGTGAGGAGATGGGTTATGTTCTGGTCGTGCATATACAGAATGTTGATGATGTATGGCACTGAGTTGTTGTGGATATGCTGCAGGATAACGGGGATTGGGAGAGGAGTTAATAGGGGACAAAGTATTAAATGGTTCGTCGCTTGGTGCCACAGTCGAGCTAAGAACAAATATATGTGTAGGTGGTTGTTTAACGCGTTCGTGATACTTGGTTTTTGTCAGAATTTGAGGTTGAGGTCCTTGGTTCTGTTGTTGTGGCTGGGGATACTTATCACTGTATTGTGGACGTTGCTGTAAATAAAATAAATATTTTCCTTGATCTGAATTTCGTAAAAGCACTAGTTCTGTCCCGTACCTGTTCAATGGGTTGCTGCTCAGTTAGGAAAAAATGTTCAGGTTTCGATGGGCGAAATTGTGCTGGCTTGGTTCGGTACTGTTGTTGCTTGGAGCCAATTAATGTTAATTGTTGTGAATGTTTTGGTGGTCGAGGGGATCCATCAATAACTACAATCTCGTGTCCATTTTGCTGTTGTTGATGATGGTCATAACTGGAATAGGTGCTACAATTTACATGAGTAAACGTGAATGAATGAATTAATAACATTAATGTTTGTATTTAAAATTCTATCAATCTCAGTATTACACCGCCATATAGGCAATCTGGGCAGTTTTTTTTAGCAAAAAAGTAATTTTTTAACATTTAAACATACGATTTTTCTTAATTGCAGTTGAAAAGCGAAAAGTATTATTTTGTTCGATTTATTTCGTAAACGCGTACTTAAAGTTGTTTAAATCACAGTCAAACTCCACACAATGAAAATATATACTTAAATGAACTAAACGATTTTAAAAAATGGGGAGTATTTTAAAGCGTTGAAATTGCTAAATTCAAAACTAAGAAATAAGTATACAACAAGAAAGATATTGGCGAAGGTGTGTGTTTTTAATTTAACATACAGTGAGCAGCATGGTACCTCATACAAATTCAGTAATTACTCAAAAAATAATTTACAAAATTTAAAACAATTATTTTTATTTTATGTATTCACTCCTATACTACAACAATGGAAAGTAATATATCATTTGTTTGTTCCAACAAACCATAAAAAAATCGAGATCGTGTCAACTCCAAATTTTTACAAGCATAGAGTATTGTCAAATTCTCTTTTAAAACAATAACGGTACTTTCCACATTTCCAAAAGCATTTGCTTAGTGCAACAAGTGAAAGCAAGTATTTTTTTAAAAGGCCTAGAAAAGAACTAACTATTGAAGAGCGAAAAATAATAATTAATAACCATGAAATGGGAAAATCCTATTCCGAAATAAGTAAAATGGTCCAAAAAGTGGTTAATCGATAGAAAAAAGAAAATATAATTGAAAATAAACCGCTACCAGGCCGTTCCAGGAAGCTCACCATCAGAGAAGAACGAAAAATTGAATATATTATTAACAAAATCTATTTACCAGCGCTCCTTAAATCGCTGCAGACTTAAAATAATAATTTGGGAAAGCAGTTTCAGCAGAAACGGTACGTAGGTGGGAAAAAGTTATTTTCTCGGACGAATCGAAATTTAACATATTTGGGTCGGATGGACGCTCCTTGGGGTGCGGAAAAAAGGCGAAGAGCTCAATCCAAAGGGTGGAGTAATGGTATGGGGATGCCTGTCAGCAACTGGTGTTGGCAATTTGGTATTCATTGAGGAAATAATGAATAAAACAGTTTACATGAATATTTTGAAACAAAATTTGTACTGAAAAACCCAACATTCGTGATAATTATTACTTCCAACAGGACAATGATCCAAAACACACTGCTATTGACGTTAAGAATTGTGTATACGATCCAATTCTTAACGTCAATAGCAGTGTGTTTTGGATCACCACACATGCTGATAACACCTCCACAAAGCCCCGATTTAAATCCGATTGAGCACCTATGGGATCATCTACATTATTATCAAAAATATGGACTTGGCACTATGTTGATTTTGTTTTACATTTTGTTTTAATAAAAACTGAAATATTACTTTGATTTGACGTAGTATAGGATGAAATAAAAATATACATTTTAAATTTTGTGAATTACTTTTTGAGTAATTAATGAATATTTTTTGATTTGTATGGGGTACCATGACTTTTGCTGGTCACTGTATAACACTTGTTAATACATTTATCCAACGATACAATATTTGCCCAATTGTTGAGAATAAAAGATTCGTTTTATTTTTTACATTTAATTCATTGCAGATTTGCAAATTGTTGCGATCTGTAATATTATTAATTTTGTTTTTGTAGTCTTATACTTTTTTAGGCATTCCTTAAAAATTTTAGCCTCAACCTATGCAGCACGGGTATAAGAAAAATTGTAGGGGAGATACCTAAGGGATTTTATCTATATATATAAAAGAGTTGCGTTATAAGTGACTGACTGATCATCAACGCCCAGACGAAACGGCTAAAGCTAGAAACTTGAAATTTGGCATGTAGGTGGGGTTTGGTGCGTAGGCGTGTGATAAGGCGGGATTTTTGGAAATTCGTACTAAAAGGTACTAAAAACTGAATTGCGCGGGAATGGTTAGAAGTAGAACTTTGAAATGTGGCACATAGCTTTGTCTATGACGATCGGACTGGAATGTGTGGAAAAATTTTGGAAATTAGTACTTAGATGTACTAAAAAGTACTAAATATTGTATTTAATGGAATTGGTGAAGATTCATATCTGAAACTTTGTATGGAGCTTAAGGTATTACAGAGAGAACACTGTGCAAAAATATTTTTTTGTAAACTAGTACTAAAAGGAACTAAAACTCTAGTACTTAGATGAAATTAGTACTTAGATGTACTAAAAAGTACTAAATATTGTATTTAATGGAATTGGTGAAGATTCATATCTGAAACTTTGTATGGAGCTTAAGGTATTACAGAGAGAACACTGTGCAAAAATATTTTTTTGTAAACTAGTACTAAAAGGAACTAAAACTCTATTACGCCTGAACGGTTGAAAGTAGAACTCTGAAATTAGGTATGCACCTTTTTAATAATAAGGGAAGGGTTATGTGTGAAAAATTTTTGGAATTTAGTACTAAGAGGTACTAAAAAGTACAAAATACTATAATTTAATGGAACCTGTAGAGATACATATTTGAAACTTGGTATGAAGCTTATGATATTAAAACAAGTGCATAAATATTTGTTGCAAATTATTACTAAAATGGTACTAAACCGTATTACGCCGGAACGGTTGAATGTAGAACTCTGAAATTTGGTATACAGATTTGCCTATGATAAGCGAAGTGGTATGTGTAAAAAAAAATTTGGAATTTAGTACTAAGAGGTACTAAAAAGTACTAAATATTAAATTTGAATGGAACCAGTACAGATACTTATATTTTAAAATTGATATGTAGCTTAAGCTATTAAAAATAGAATGTTGTGCAAAATTATCTTTCGGAAATTAGTACTAAAATGGTACTAAAACTATATTATAACGGAACGTTTGGATGTAGAACTCTGAGATTTTGTATGCATATTGGTCAATGAAATTGATACTTAAGGTACTAAAAAGTACTAAAAATTATATTACAAAGGAACAGGTACGGGTTGATATCTGAAACATGGTATTTAACTTAAGCTATTACAAATATAACGATGGGCAAAAATATTGTTTGGAAATTGGTACTAAAATGTACTAAAAAGTTATTACAACAGAATCAATGGAGATAGAAATCAGGAACATTGTATATAGCTTTTACTATTACAATTTAGTTCTAAAGTGGTAATAAAAAGAACTAAATAAAAATTACAATGGAACCGTTAGAAATGGAAATCTGAAACGTGATATGTGGATTTTACTATTACAAATATTTCCCTACGCATATTTTTTTGAAATCAGTACTAAAATTGTACTAAATATTAAATGACGTCTGAAACGGTATAGATTAAAATCTGAAACATAGTATGTTGTTCCATTATTTCACTTATAATGATATGCATATATATTTTTGGAAATAAATACTAAATACTGTACCATAGTGAATTGAAAGAAATAAAAATATAGGGGAGACTGGGGCACCTTCGGCAATCGCGTTTTCGATATGAAGCTCTCACCGTACATCACTAGTTTCGATACATAGGTATCGAATATCGAAATAAATAACTGACACAAAGTTTGAAATTTCTAGCTAATAAGCTTATTTAGATACATAGGTTTTTGTATTTTTATAGATGTTTCTGTAATATTTCTATTCCATTTCGTAAATATTTCGTGATAAAACTTTTAAAATTTTTAAGACAATATTATTAAAAAGTGGTTAACTACGATGTGTATTATTATAAAAATATTAAAATATTAAATTAAAAATATAATGATTTTACAAATCTGATCGAAAAAAATGAAAAAAAAAACTATAAAAAGTACATTCGGGGTACATTCGGCATTTTAAAGTGGGCACATTCGGACATATACAGATTGTGCAATATTATTTCCTTAAAATGTTTTTGAGTTTGTCTTTAAAACTAATCCATTAATAGGCTCGAAATTGCATATATAAGACTAAACGTGCTTATATTGACGAAAATGCGATAGAAAACCCCTATTTCTGATGGTGTGTGCGACCTTGAGATGTAAACGTCCGTCGCTAGAAAATAAAGCCCTATAATTCAAACATTGTGTGGCGTATTAAAACCAAATAGAGCCTTTAGAGGATCCGAATTTCAACCAGACTGATAGCGATGACAATTACCCATCTATGACTATGGCGTCGAATGTGCCCCATCAAATGCCGAAGCTACCCCGGGTTGGGGCACATTCGGCGAATTTGACTTTTTTACTAAACTGTAAAAATTTTTAACTAATACTAATTTTTTATATCTTTTTGGTACTATTTTTTATAATTAAGTGTCAGAGGACAATAATCAGCCATAAAGTTGTTATATATGTTGAATAAGTACTGAGATATAGAGCTCTAAAAAAAGTGCCGAAGGTGCCCAGTCTCCCCTACTACATATCAGTACTAAGAGTGGGAAAAGTTTGTACGCAAACAAAATGGTGTTGTGATAAAGTTTCTTATTAACTCGGTTCTAAAGAGCCTGGAAAATACTAAAAATTTTACATGGGTATTGAGCGATTAGAAGTGGTAGAGTTTGGAATTCGTGTATGTGGCTTCTAAAATAAAACTATAATTACTCCCAGTGTCATCAACAAGTTAAAAGGATAGAAATTAGCATTGCTTTATATATAAGAGTCTATATATAATTCCGTTATAATGATTGACTGATCAACGCCCAAACGAATCTTGATATTTTGCATGTAGGTTAGTGTTAGTGCATATGCGTGTGATAAGGCTGGATTTATTGGGAATTCGTACTAAATGGTACAAAAATACCACTGTGTGGGAACGACAAACAATATAATTCTGAAATTCGGTATGTAGCTTTGTCTATTATAAACAAAATAGAATACACCAAAAACTTAAGGTACCAATAAAAATAAAAGGTAGGAACCTGTTATTAAATACTTAACTGGGACTATGACTATAAACATTTATACATAAATATTTTCCAGAAATAATTTTTAAAAGTACAACACATTGTAAACGGCGGGATGGATGGAGGTAGAATTTTGTCCAAGGCTTTTTGTTTGAAAAATAATGTTTTCGCAGTTTTGTCTACCATTAGTACTAACGGTTCTAAATATTGTGTACGACAGAAAAGCTAGAGATAGAGTGCTGACATTTTGTATGTAACAAATTAAATATAATACGCATAGTTTACATCGGAAAAGGTAAAGACAAATATCCGAATTTTAGTATTTATCTGTAACTATGACAAATAAAATGTTTATGGACATATTTTACGAAAATCTGGACTAAAAATTATGACAGTTAATGAAATATAGTTTCCAACCCTAAATAGACCTATACAACAGCGAATGATTTTGTTAATTGTACAAATTAGTCAACCAAGTCAACCAAATACTAAATTGTTGACACTTTTAAACCAAATGCTTCTATGATATATAGCATAACAGTACTGTTATATATTTCTAATAATGTTTCCAGCCCCACTGCCGCGAATTCCGATGTAATGAATAATATTTATAACATCTATGATTTTCCTTTAAAAATATTAATGTATAGGACCTGAGCTATCATTATTCGACGTTTTCTGATTTATACTGAATCCAAAAGTATCGAGATTATTAAATAATTAATAGGTGTGTTAGTACACACTTAGAAATGCATACATGTCTATATTATGTTATATTGTATAGCTAAATCAATGTTTATTTATTTTAACTATTTACTACTATTTAACTATAAATATTACTTTTGCGGGGATAATCAGAAAACTTCGTATTAGTTTTGCACTTTTTCATATATTTTGACCCTTTTCAGTGGGAGCTATTTTCAGATTCAAAGGAATTAAATTATTAGGTATTTACAACTTTTCAAAATATGGACCCTTAGTTGAGGAGAAACCAGAAGGAGCGGACCAATAATGGTTTTAGTTAGTGCGATATAGTTTTCGTAAAAATATTAGGTTGTGTAACGTTTGGATCAAAACGGATAATGCTTTCGCAGAATATTATGAATTTATTTTTCCACAAATTTTTGACCATTTGTATGGGTGGGAGAGTTGACAAATTAGTATTCCTCTAATGTCTGAATTGGTGGAAATTGTGTTAACAGATTATTCAAGAATTGGACATTTTTCAAAAAATGTGTTCCTTTCAATCTCATTTAAAATTTCATCGGAACAGTTTTTGTAAGCATCAAAAAAGTTTTGATAGTTTTCCCTATAACTTTGGACTGTATACACTGTACACTTTTTGCCCTCTGATATTTATTGAAAAGTTTAAATCTTGAGCTATATTCTGTATAATGCTATTTTAAAAACCAAATAAAGAAAACTATCGTTTTATGGAATTAAAGAATCGTTGGAGTGAGAGAAAATGGCAGTGGTTTAGTTTATAAGCAAAAACAAAAACAATTGTTTTAGTAGTGTACGAATTGAAATAAAAGAGGGCTAATATTGAAGTGATGATAACCATCTGGCAACCCCTCCTACATACTCCCAGTCACTCGATATGCACTCTTACCCAATAGCTGGTGTATTCTGATGTTGAGAATTGCCTGTTTCTCTGCCAGACGACAATGGCGTTACACTAAAATATTGCCCCGGTTGTTTAGGATTATGCCGATGCTGATGTGAATGAGGCTCTTGGTGCTGCGTAGACGACGGTGGTGGAGGATGATGTTGAACCACACCATCAATTGATGCTGGCAATGGATCGGGATATTCAATTGCAATTTGTTGCTGTTTTCCGCCCCCATTTGTTGCTTTCGCTGCTGGAGAATTATCGGTGTTGGTAGTGTCGGCTGACGATGCAGCATGTGATGTTATAACTATGTTGTTGTTGTTATTGTTATTATTGTTATTATTGCTGTTTACTGGCGTATAAACAATTGGCACAAAATTTCCCGGTACTGAATTGGCCGGTGTAAATGGTGTTAAATTGATTTTTGATTGTTTCGTTCGTGGACGATAAGCGACGCCATGTTGCTGTCGTTGCTGTTTCGCAGAGGATGGTTCATATGCGGATGATGATGATGAAGAGGCTGAATGCGATGGCAGTGGTGGAAAATGCTGTACGGTTTTATGCTATACGAACGAAATTATAGAAAGAGGTGTTTTCAGAAACATATAAGTAAAAATATTAAATATTTGTATTAGAGTGCCGACAATCGATACAGAAAAACTTTCATGATTGTTGGACTGTTATGTCAACCTCATTTTCGGATTCAAAGAATGTTTGAAAAAGGTAGTAATACCTTTTAAAGAGATACAGAGATTTTGAACATTGGAGAGAAGTACCAGATATCGTTTGGTGACAAGTTTGGTTAAAAACGTATACATCGTTCAAAGGATATTATAACTTTATTTTTCCTCTAAATGTTGAATATTTGTGGGGTAGGTACCTGAAAAAATGATCTGATATTCTCTATCTGACTATGTGCAAAGATAGAATTAAATCGCTAACTACTTTCGAGAGTTATCCGGATGTGCATTACGGCATTTACCAGCCGTACAGACATATCCGTCTAAACGCACTTTAGTGTTCATCGCAGTTTTCCACTTTAACTTGATCCCTGCCTGTGAAATAGGTGTCGCATTTAGTATCAGTTAAAAATAATCGTACAGAAATGCCTGTTGTGGATGAAATATCAAACCTCGAATAATTATATACAATATGGAGGGATACACATTTTGGAAAAACTTCGTATGTGTAATTTGTAAAATCAATGGAAAATGGGTGTGCTTAAAATAATTAAAATATTAAAAATGTTAAAATAATTTTATACTATCGAATAACTAGGGATGCTTTATATAATGATGGCAATTTATATCACATCAATCTGAGAAATTATTTAGAAAAAAAAAACGTTGCTCGTTCTCCCGAGATATGAGAAACATAAAGATTATTCTTCCTTTGGTTGTTTGTTCAACGTAGTGTGTCTATAGCCAGATGTAAAATCGAACTTCTCACAGATACGTTTTCATGCATCATCATAACAATGACAACTTATTTTAACTAATCTTCGCGAATTTTACTCAACATTATGATTGTGTGCACACCCTAATGCAGCAAATGTGCCTGCTATTATTATTTATTATACGACATTTATATGAATTTCATCATCAGTTTTTCTTTTCGATTTAAAACTTACTCGAACGGGATTTATCTTATTGCCAGCCAAGTTAATTCCCGAAGAGGGTGCTGAAGGACCGGGGGAACCAGCTGAAAGTAAGTGATGTCCAGGATATTTGTGGTTGGCGCCATTATCGATGTGCTTTATTGGCGTTGGTACCAGTTGATATGACTGTTCTTGGGATTGCGTTCCACCACCACCGTATGCTAGCGCATGATAGGCATCGCCTGCACTTGTCTGATAATGTGTAGCAGCTGTTGAAGATTGTAAATATGATGCACCTCCCGGTTCCGAATATGTTTTCATGTTAACATATTGTGGCGGTAGAGGTATGTGTGACCCAGAAGATGTTCCCGTGGCACTCAGTCGCACACCATTTTTTGTCTGCTACAAAAAGAGGAGGTAGAAGTCGTCCTTTAGCAATGGAATTCCTTTAAAATTGAAAATGATAATCTTACCGTTGGCATTGCAGCGTACTGCTGGTTAATGGGCAGATCTTGGACCGGTACATAAAATGCCATGTATGGAATTAAACGTCTTGTACGTTCCGATGCACTCAGCTCAGAGTCTACAGTAGACAATGTGACATTATCTTCAATATTGGTGGATTTATGTTGTTCTGTCTGGATGGCAGGTGTATCCGTTTCATTTCCCATTGTATTTTTTACGCCAACAGTTATACACCTGACACTGTGCATAAAAACTGAAACGAAGTGGACATATTGGGGCATAAGTGGGGTTTTTATTTAGGGTGAATTATATGAAAACTGAATTGTGTTTTAAATATGTGTAAGATAGGATTATAGATTTGATTTTTAACAAAAATATCCGATCGCAAAAAACTCCCATATGTAAAACCTGCCTCAAGTATATCAGAAAAAATATGTTGGTTTAAGCGAGGTACTTAATACGTGAAAATCTATGAATAGCATCAATATTGCTCACAAGCAACAAAATATTTCGGAGCTAATATATTATCACATCACACACAAAATATAGAAACAAAGTTTACAAAGTAGTTTGAAAGCATTTTTGTCGTAATTGATAGGCGGATTTTATATAATATGCACATCAAATTGAAGCTGTATTCAATAACATATACTAATTCAAGAATGCCACTTTAAAATTTCAAGTGAAAATGTCAAAAACGGTAGAAGAAGAAAATTTAACCCTTCCTTGCATATAGATGTAAATTTCCATCATAGCAATGAATGCCCAATAGCACATATAACTAACATAAATTAAATTTAAAATTATGATGTTGTTATGTAATAATCTAATCCTTTCCATTTTTCAAGAATTGAATTCCATTCTGTTAATTTTTGTGCGAAGTTAACAATCCTAGTTCATACCAGAGCCAGACATGTACTCTTTCGAATTCCGTTGGAATTTGTGAATCGGACGTTCCAAAAATTTTCGTTAATTATAAAAAACAACAACATTATGTCAATTCATTTTCTTATCCTTTACGTTCATTTGCCGCCCTTTTACAAATCATAAACATTTGAAATCGAAAATGGGTTTGTCCCTTTTAGGTAAATTATTAAAGGATATAAAAACTCATGGTTTGCAGGGGTCTCCAATTATACTTGTTATTATTCTACGGAAAGTCACCTTTGTATTCAAAATAAAGGTTTAAACGATATTTGCACCCTCTTGACTGATTAGAGGTCAACAAATATTACTAATATTCAGTACAGCCCTTCTAAGTGCTTGTCCTGATTCCCTTTTGATGTTCGGTTTTTAATTGTGGCCTTTCAGTCCACTTCATCCCAATATTATAATCTGATCTTACTTACTTACTTAGCTAGCTTGTTACAGAACGGTTGTTCCATAAGCCGAGCTTAAAAAAGATTTTCAAGCGCGTCGGTCTTGGGAGGTGGCCTTGTTTCTAAACTGCTTACTTAGGCCATAGTAGCATCTGTTGGCCATCACAATCCTTCTCCGAATTTCAAAACTGATGTCATTCGTTTTATTTACGGCGGTACCAAGGTATATAAAGTCTTTAACTACCTCGAAGCTGTAGATCTCAAGTTCCACAGTTGGTCCGAGCCTTCTGGACGTCTTGCGCGTTGATACCATCAGCTTGGTCTTCTCGCCGTTTACTGCCAGACCCACTTTGGCAGACTCATTTTCAATTTGTTCAAAGGTGGCTGTTACCGCTCGCAATGTTCGACCCATTATATCGATGTCATCGGCGTAGGCGAGTAACATGTGTTGTTTGGTGTACAGAGTGCCATTTCTGTTCACCTTTGCGTCTCGTACGACCTTTTCCAGTAGGGTTTTTAAAAAGATCACACGAATCCTCGTTCGGTATTGAAGGGCTCCGATAGGTCCTTTCCTACTTTAACTGCTGACCTTTTGCCACTTAAAGTTATCCTGTTAAAGTTGTAATCTGATCACCACCGAAAATTATAGGCGTTGTCCTTGACCATAACTGGATCCTCATGAAACATTTCACATCGATCAGCGCTATATTTCCGCCCTCTAGGGGGATATTTCAAAACATGAACCCATATATTTTTGCATTCGTTGTTGCCCAAGATTGCAATAAATTCAAATATATATATATATATATATATATGTTTGACTTGGAATATATTTAGACAACAAATGTACTATGTTGTGAAAACAATTTGTTTTTAGCTTTTACCGTTAGTATGCCGACAATATTACAAAAACGAAAATTTAAATTAGGAAATAACATCTTTACTACACCTACTGTATGAGTACGCCCCTGTTCTGACAAATTTTGAAGCAAGTAATTTGTTTTTCTTTCTATTCCAATTTCTCAAACTTTTTTCAATAGTTTCTGTCGTTGTAAATTGTATAGCTTTTAGTTCTCAATTTCGGGTACAAATTCAAATCATCCGAATATCTCTAGATACAGTTGAACAAAATTCCATCATCATAGAAACCAAAGAATCATGTCGAAATTCTCCACAACATCTAGTCGTCAGTTGAGTACTCGTAATTCGGACATTGATGCTCTGGCCCAGCGGGGCTACAATATTGGCCACAAAATTGGTGAAGGATCCTATGCCACTGTTATAACAGCTGGTTATGCCGATAATACCGGCCAGGGTCTGCACTTGGCATGCAAAATAATCGACAAAGGAAAGGCGCCTTCCGACTTTGTCCATAAATTCTTTCCACGTGAATTGGAAATTCTAACGAAAATTGATCACCCAAATATTATACAAATTCACAGTATTCTACAGCGTGGTCCAAAAATCTTTATTTTTATGAGATATGCTGAAAATGGCGATTTGTTGAGCTATATAAAAAAGACAGGGCCCGTCGAGGAACTGCAGGCTAAAGCCTGGTTTATGCAAATGGCAAAAGCTATAAAGTACCTGCACTCCCACGACATAGCACATCGCGATCTTAAGTGCGAGAATATACTGTTGTCGAAACGCCTCAATGTAAAATTAGCCGATTTTGGATTTGCCCGTTATTGTCGCGATGAGAATGGCCGCGATATAAAATCGGAAACATATTGTGGTTCGGCAGCCTATGCTGCTCCTGAAGTTGTCTGTGGTCGTCCCTATGATCCTAAATTGGCGGACGCCTGGTCATTGGGAGTCATTCTCTTCATAATGCTGAATGCAAAAATGCCGTTCGACGATCATAATTTGAGTAAACTACTCGAGGATCAGCGGAGTAAAAAGTTTTCGTTTCGCCGCAAATTGCAAGATCAAATATCAGCGCAGGCTAAGGCTACAGTGGCTGTGCTATTGGAACCAGAGCCTCATGCTCGCTGGGATTTACGTGAAATTCTAAATTGCAGTTGGGTTCGCAACGAAGATGAAGATGTCATTAAGGTGTAATTTCTAGTAAATTGAAAACTACAAAAATAAATTCCAAAGAAATTGAAAACGAGAAATAATGATTTTCTCATAATTAACGGTATTATTGCGATGTTATTTCATATTTAAAAAGAAGGGTCCTGCGTTTTAAAGAGAATGCGACTATTTTAGTATAAAAATAGTTCCATAGATTTGAACAAAATATTACCATATGGAACTGAAAACAAACAAATGCATTTACCATCAATAGCCATTATGTCCATCTTAAATACATTCAAACACTTCTATGTAAAAACATATTCAACTATGTGTGTATGTATATCACTAACAATGGCAATGTTCTCTAAACATAAAGCAAACGGGTTATACTAGATATCTTAACTGCTGAATATTTTGTCATTTCATTGTTGCTGTGTGTGTGCGTTTTGTTGGTTTGCATCTGCACAAAACCATTATGGGAATATAAGCCCCCCCACACCAGTTGAAATTCAATTAGCTTTTCGGTAGGATATCTTTGCAAACTGTTTTCAGCATTTAGTTTGTCGTGATATAGAGGCGAAGTACCTGAGTCGGGCATATGCTGGCATGAACGACATTACGATACTAAATGAACATCAGCTAACATGTGTGTATAGCAACATAGCAACAATAGACCAAAATTTGTGCTTGGAATTAAAATAATTTCGTATTTTAAATAATATTAAAATCGTGGCAAGATGGCATAGTGTGCCTGGTCCTCTCTCTCCTCTTTATATCAGTTGAAGTCTGCTGCTGTTGCTCTCGACTACCTCAATACATTCCTGGCCTAATGAAGTCATCTTCGTTGCAAGATATTTAAATGCCGGAAGCAAATTAATGAGGAACATGACACACAAACAAAAAACAGAGTGGTTATGTTGTGTATTCGTGAATACCGGTGCATTTTGAAAATCTCCATCAAAATTGGGGGATTATTGTCATTGAAATGAATGGCTGAGAATATTCCAAATTACTTCTGAGAAACACTTAGTTGGAAAGTAGAAACTTTGCTATCACTATTAGCATTATCCTCTAAAGTATATTTAAATATTTATAACATGTATTTTGCGTTTTCAATGTTTGTCTTCGACTCAATAACCATCGCTCGAAGAAATTATCAGTTCATTGTGCATATAGTCATTGAAGTGATCGGATTGTTGGTTGACGGTCATGAAAGGAACCCTCAATTAATGTTTGAGTCCTAAATGGAGATAACAATCTCCTCACACAAATGCCATACATAAAGTAACTCCTGAAAATAATTGTTGTTTCTATTTGGAAGGTATAACTTTTTTGTAGCACTCTGATAGCCACACGTCTTCAAAAAGCTTGAAAGCTTGAAAAAACTTCATAACGTGCTTCCTTTTGGTTAGGGGTTAAATTGCAGCATGATGATGTAAAATTCCATCACACGAAATTTAAATTAAACTGACATTTTTTCAGATATTGCTTATCAAAATACCGGAACAATGACAATGGCGGATGCATTCAAAGCACACCAACTAGTTTACTAAAGTTGGTTCGACATTTCTTGAGTGTACCTCCTGTCAGCAACAGTTGCAGCCGTAGCCCCTTCAGTGAAATGTCTGAGGTCGTTTCTATGTATGTGCACCCATAAGGTATTGTTCCCATGTGTTGCATATTTAAAAGTACACAAGTTTTACTCCTGATACACCATTTAATTATTTTCATTTCCACCAACACCCACCTAAAGCCGTTCACACGTTTCTCCTTCTTCTTCTTCTCCTTTTCAAATTTAATGCAAAATTCTTGAGCAGCCTTTTTGAATGTCTTCAAATTAGTTTGATGTTGCTAATGTCGTCGTGTGTGATGTTGGTGTGTTGCACGTTTATCTTTGGAAGCGGTGGGAGCCCCTTCCACATTCAAGGAGTGTTTGTACTGTAAATTGTCGTAGATTATAAAGTTGCATATTTGGAAATGCCTTTAATTCCATTAAATATGATGGCATTTATAACAGTTATGGCGATTGTGGCTTCAAAACTTGCTTCGGCAATATTTCCAAAACGTATGTTCAGGCGTAAGAGAGGAAGCTGTCTGTGCACATTAAATATTGGTCACAATGGCCATGTGCTGAAGTGTAATCAAATGGCCCAGAAATACTTTATTAATAATTTACATTTGTATTTCTGTTTGGATTATATCGAAATAAGGAACCCGATTGCATAATACCACGACGAAGAACATTAAAAAACCACATGACGGTACCACAAGAAATTTGGTCACATGGTAGCACTTGATTATTGAATAGTAGGATCATTGTTATTGGTTCTGTATTCATTAGGATGATTTACATTTAGTTTATATGTCCACAAAAAATCCATGGTTCGTCATAAGTTATGAACATGTGTTAAGGGGACCCCCCCATTCTCGGGGTCAAAATTTTTGTTGATATAATACGAATCTGCACTGATTAAATAATGTCTCTACAAAATTTCAAGTGAAAATCTCAAGAACTCTTGAAGATATAGCCGTTTTTTTGTGTCAGCATCAAGTGACGGCTGAAGGGCTTCTCAAACTTTTAACGCGTTTTTCTCTAAACATTTTTTTGCGTATGGCGGGCACGATAACTCAAAAACTAATAATCCAATCGGCTCCAAATTTTGCAACGTTTCTCTGGGAGTGTATAGCTCTCGTATGAATTAGGATAAAGCCAATCGGTGAAGATCTTCCTTATTTTTTAACTTGGTTTTTGGTAAAAAATCGGCGATTTTCCAAAAATATTTTTTTCAAAGGTCCACCATTTTGTTAATTTTAGAGCGAAGTCAATAATCCTAGTTCATACGAGAGCCAGACATGTACTCTTTCTAACACCGTTGGAATTTTCGGATTCCGATGTTCCAGTGAGGAGTTATCATGCCCGCCATCGAAAATAAGGACTTTTCTTTAATTACAAAAAACAACAACAAAACAATAACAAAATTTTTTTGTAAATTATTTTTCTTCTCTTTTAAATCTTCAATTATATATGTGCAAAGTTACAAACCATAACAAGCATTTGTATTCATGTACCAGCCCATTGAAAATCTTGAAAAATTAAAATCGAGAATGGGTGGGGTTCCCTTAAGCGTAAAAACTTGTACAAATTGTTAACATGGGTCTACGTTTTTGTTATCTCCCCCTGTAACTGGTGGTCTTCTGTAAAAAGATGTAAGACAGAACTAATGACCATTTGTTGAGTTCAAAGACTTTGCATGTCCCCCAGAAAGGAAATAAAAAAACATTATCTCTTGTTAAGTAAACTTAACCTCCAAATGTAACTGCCTCCATATTTAACTGTATCACGGGAGGATGAACTAGTAACATATTTGCTCGAATTAAAGTTGATGTACCACTTTTTTTTAAAGAAAAACCAAGGTGTATTTAATAAGGTGTAAGTGACAATCATATGGTTTTAAACTTTTTTCTTTATTGTTTGTAAAGTAAATTGTCAAAAATATTTGTCAACGTTTCATTTCGATTTAAAATATTGTCTTTTGTTTTCGATTATTATTTTTTTTTATTAATAAAAGTGCAATAATAATGCATTTATAGGGATGGAATATTTGTTAATGCCCCAAGTGACGACGAGGAAGCGTGAGCTTAAATCAGTTCTAAATCCGGCCGCTGATTTGTTCCACATTTTTGCCGCAAGTACAACTTGGGTTCCAGATTGCAAATATACATACATATGCACAGTGGTGGTCACGCAATTAAAACATTTATTGTGGTAAACATTTTTTGATCAGCCCTCGATTCGTTTGAAGTATTTTTGAAAAATTTTTAATTCAGAATACTTCGATATACTGCACTTAAGAAATTTAGTGTGCAGTATACAGTACACCTAACATTCAGAAAATCACCTTTATTTTAGAAAGTAAATGACCGAATGCACCAGAAATTACTAGAATTAGTAGAAAACAATAAATAATTCTCAAAATAAATAAATATTTGAAATAATAACTCATAAAATGGCAATTAACTTTAAGGAACGATTCAACTTCGATAGCCTTTATTGAAGAAGGCCGGAATATTTTTGCAGTATGTGAGAAAATATCGATTGATATTGGCATTTATTATATCAAATCGATTGTTCGAGTAGTACAGAACATATTTTATCAAAAAATATATCAGTCACAACGAAAGGAACAGAGATCAACGCCTATGTTTACTAGTAAAAGTTTATGGCAGACAGCAGCATTTTGAAGCTCAACACAAAACTTCAAATTTTTGTCAAACTGTAAAATATTTTTTTTCTTTGAGGCTAAAATAGATTAAATGGAAGTTGTTCTATTTAAAAAATATTATTTTGGAAAAATATTGCCATTTTCAATAGATTTTGAGGGACCATCAAATATGCTGCTGTGTGCCAGAAACTTTTACTCGTCAACATAGGCGTTGATCTCTGTTCGTTTCGTTGTGACTGATATATTTTTTGATAAAATATGTTCTGTACTACTCGAACAATCGATTTGATATAATAAATGCCAATATTAATCGATATTTTCTCACATACTGCAAAAATATTCCGGCCTTCTTCAATAACGGCTATAGAAGTTGAATCGTTCCTTTAAGTTAATTGCCATTTTTTGAGTTACTATTTCAAATATCTATTTATTTTGAGAATTATTTATTGTTTTCTACTAATTCTAGCAATTTTTGGTGAATTCGGTCCATTATTTTCTATAATAAAGGTGATTTTCTGAATGTTAGGTGTACTGTACAAATTTTTGGCAATTTTTATAGATTTTAGAGATTTTTTCAAAATTTTTTTTCTGTAAATGATTTTATCTGTGCTTAATTTGCATAAATTACCTAAATTTAAGTGATTTTCTAAAAATATTTTCAAAAACATGCAGTAAAGTAAAAAAATCACACAATGTTTTAATTATGTGGCCACTTCAAAGTCGATGTATTTTCATAAAAACCGTTATTTATGGAAAAACTGCATGCAATAATTTTCTATTTTCACACTAAATCTCTTAAGTGCAGTATATCGAGGTGTT